AAGCGTAATCTCAACTCCATTCGTCTGGCCGAAGTCTGCATGCACAGGTTTTTAACACGTTATTTTCTGTACCATCTTGAGTCTTGAAAGGGAATTTATCAGGATATTTTAGGTTATTTTGGTAATCGACAAGAAGCTTTTTCCGATTATAATAAAACCTTAAATTAATGTTTACACCACAAGGGTAACACGAAACCACCTGAAAAACAGGAGAATGGTTAGATGTAGGAAAGATTTACATCGATTACAGATTAACGAACGAAAAATGAAGTCTTTTAATTTTAAGTTGTCCAGGCCGTGACCTAAGAACTGTACGTTACAAGAAGGTTCATGAATGTTTCTCTCCCCTCCAGTTAATGGTTTGGTATTACCCGCGCCTTTTAGCTTTAATGTTTACTCATGGAAGTGACCCGATCAAACGGCCTCCAGTGTGAATGTTAACATTCGGCGTTTTGCTGTTTAAGGCGAATAGCAAAGGCAGAATATCAATAATTTCCCCTCTGGCTCGTTCAGTTATCGCAATCCTCATTTACTATATTAATGAAGATCTAGAACGGGGTCAATTTCACTCAGTCGCTGTAGAAAATGAAATGAACGTTTCTGCAGCTTTCGACCAAAAAAACGCACAATCCACATTTTCCCGACATGAAGATTCCCTCTATGCAAAATTGTGGTCATAAAAAGTGATTGTTTAGTCAGGACACCTTATGTAGAACCGACTAGACTTCATGCAAAAACGTTAGTTTGCGGAATCGTGATTAAAAATTATCCTTCCAAAATAAAATAGCGAAAACGAAAAGTTTCAGCTGTTTTCAATAGCTAAATTGATGACATGTATGCATGAAAATTTTATGCCTTACCTGACAACCTAATCTATTTTTGAATTAATTAACATTAAAGATAAATTTTCAAATTTACTTTGTTTGTAGGTAGGTGAATTTCACTGCGGATGGAGCTTGAATACATAGATTTGGAAACCACCGGAATAGCCAGCGCAGGTAAGCCAACCAAAAGTAATGCTGAATCACTTCAAAGAAATTGACTGGCAATACGTTTCCCGCCGCATTAAAACGAAAGGCAATTTAAATATTCCGCTCGTGCGAGAGTCCAGGCATAGAAATAATCTTTATTGACTTGTCGCAAACCTCGGGGAGTGCTCGACAATGGACTTTCTAGGGAAGCAGAGAAAAGTGCTGTTGGAGATCGGTTAATTTTTTTTGCGAGATTTCACCCGAGGTGAACGTATTTAAATGCTAAGAAAGAGACTCTAGGGTTGTCTAATTATTCAGCGTTAGACACAAGCGGAGTTTGTCTGTAAATGAAATTCGTCGCAATTAACTTTCACCTGATATTGTATATTTTGTGTGCGTTATTTTGCTTTTCGCGTCAAAAGGCCATATCTTTCGCAACTCTTGCACGCAGGTTTCGCCTCCGTTTTTCTTGCGACCATAAAAATAATCATTCCCCCTAAATAAAACTATTCTGTATAAAAAACAAAATCGTTTTATGCGACTTACGAAGCAAGCATTAGAATTCAAGAATAGCGCCGCAAATGTGTTAGTTTGGCTATCTTGTTAGCGGGAAATTAGATTTGCCTAGTTGAAGACCAAAAAGTTACCTAACTCACGGGCACATTTTCTCGTCAAGAAAGTCTTTCACGGAGAAATTACCTACCGATAGCTTCGAAGGAAAGGTGCTTGAATCAATGGAGAGATCGCGAGGTGGGCCAATCGAGAAAATGTACTTTTATCCGGCTTCTTTATTTGTATTCTTTCTCTGATTTAAGATATTCAAGTTTACCATAAGGGAGTTTGCTCTTTACCTATATACATGGCTCATGGGTCTACTTGTGTGGATGGGGAGTTGTATCAAATTCTTTATTCATCGCCTGATTTACGTTTGCCAAGTTGGACAGAACACTCGAGAAAGGAAATTTTCGACGGTTGTCTTCTTAGGTAATGAGTTGTACAGAATTCATGTATAACTCCAGTAATTGATACACGATTACAGCTTTCTTTTTAAATATTTAAAGTTCTAAAGTTCTCTTTTTGAATACCGTTGATTGATAACTGAACAATAACAGTAGGTCTCGCATGGATGGATGTGATCTTTCTGACGACAATTTAAAATCTCTTTTTTTTTCTCCTTGATTCGCGCTGTGTCATATTGAAACAATATTAACGGAGTAACTTTTTAAAGGGATGTATCTCTAGGTTTTTCAACAAATCAATCTACGAGTGTTACCAACAGAAAAGGAAACTGTGTATATTTTGTCAGTTATTTTAATGGCAACGGGAAAAACGATCAGATCAGTTTTCAGTCTTAAAGCTATTCGCGCGCGCGGTCAAATGACGGAAGAATTGATGTCCTTTTACGCTGAAATTGTCAGCCAGTTTGATACCTTGAGTAAGATAAATGTCTAATTTGGATTCTTTCTCTTTTTTTACAAGTGATCTCTGCTCACCGTCACAATTAACACACACCAACAAACAAACAAACAAACAAACAAACAGCTTCAGATAGTTGTATGCATGGTGGGTATACTTACCAATTATGCCACACCTTCAGAGGCAACGTGTATGCAGGGCGCTGCAACCGTCTTAACGCGCCGGCCGTGACTTAATCGTGACATTGTACCGCCTACTTTCACAAACCTGAGCGCGTGAAGTCCTTTGGAGCAAAATTCCTTGGTAACATTCGTTTGACATTTACAAATGCAGGCGTATTGTAGATTGGACAATGAAGTAAATTCGTATTCTTTTCGTGCAACAAAACTGTGACGAAAATGTGTATACTGTATTTGCAGCGTACCCATCTCTTAAAGCCAATAATTCAAGAATCCAGCCTCTGTTTACCTTTTAGCAACACCTTGTTTGATTTATCTCCACTCTGTTTTTATTAATCCTGGGGATGGCTATTCACAATTTGAAAAAATTGTAATATTTAGCACGCAAATCTAGTAATTTATGTCTGTTTTAATTGTCAACAAGTCTGAACGGTGCCCAACGTCAGATAACGAACCCATTGAATACTACAAAATATTACTCCATTGTCTGAGAAGGCCATTTCATTTTACCCAACAAAGTCACGCCATTTTCAACTTACGAAAAGGTTCCCAATTGTCGTTGCGGTCCTACCGGTGAAAACTTGAGAGATGAATCGAAACTGGCTGACGGAGGAAACCAGCGAGGAGCCGGCAATTAAATGTTACGCCGGGCTTGCGCGCAGTTACGTTTGGTTCGAATGCCGACCCCACCTTGAAATGATTCGGACACTTGAAAATTCTCTTTCCTTCCGGTCACGTTAACGGATGAAAAAAAAATTAAAAATTAAATAGAATGAAGGAAAAAAAATGTACCTCATTAAATGAGGAACATGGCTTTTTAAATAAGACAAACAGCATACAGTTTTCATAGCTGTCTAAATGTTCGAAATTTCGTGCAATTTGTCTTAATTTTGGATCGGAAAGCCTTTGAGTTTATTCCTTATCGGGCCAAGTGTTTTGAACGCCTAGAGGCTTGCAAGGGCCAAGTGTTTTCAACGTCTAGAATCTTGCGATTAGAGCAACACTACCAGTTGTTTTTCATCGCATAATATTTTGTCGATTTTTAAGTTAATCACTCAATACACAAGTGTTTTTTGTTGTTTTCGCCAAGGTAATTCGAAGTAAAACGGCTATCGTGGTTGAGTCATTTTAATTTTTTTTGTTATTAGACGCAGATTTATGCTTGCAGTTGGTCGTGTTTGGCTTAACGTGTTCTTGTTCATCTTTTTTCCAAAATTCAAAATAAAGAAATAACGGTTGCCAGAGAAAATATCACTGGCTTTCAATTGAAGATGAACAACTGCCGATGTCAGCTGTCACGAGTTTGTTTACTCGACTCACTCTCTTAGTTCTTTTGTCAACACGCATGACTCTTGGCACATATACACCTATTCCACCTCTTTCTATTTTGACTAAAAAGGGGGATCGCATGCTTCCTCATAAGTGTTTGCTCATCGAAACATTCGCGGTTTCTTAGAGATTGTCTCAAGAGATCTACAAAAGCGGATACTTACGTGTAGTAATATGTATGCCTTGACGTATACGTACGTGCACTTTGCATCCTGTTTTGTTGCTTTAGCTGAATCATGAAATAGTGTAGGAGATGCCATTCCCACGTATACTCAACCCTCCTCTGTTGCGTGATCATATCTATTTTAAAACGATGTCGATTTCATCGTATTACTGATTGATTTATCATTGATCCCAGTTATCTTTTCACAGCGGCGGGTTTGATCGTTGTTGTTCTAATTCTGTAACAGGGGTCTATAAGTATGTTTCGAGCTTTTGTATCAAGGGAAAGATATCTTTCATTTCGGAGATTAAGCTAAAAATAAACGAAGACTGTTTAGATATTTGCGTCAGTGTTACTCAGATACATTCAAGTTCGAGACAAATCCCTTTTACGTTTAGCGTGCGGTGTCGTCAAATCACTGTCACGCCAAAATGTGCGAAAATCAAAATTCGCATCACGCGTGTGTTGCTTTTATCATTCTAAAGCCACCACCGCCTCGTTCCATTGGATAGTGCGATTTCAACCTTTGTTCATCTCAATGGCCTCCTTGTTCACTATTGTTTATCAATCTGCATATATCTTGTCCAATGAGGACCACGTCACGTGTGGTCAATAAAAATAATGACGAAACAACGTCAACTTGTCACCACTTGTCCTATTTTTGAGATTCTCCCCCAAAATTCACGCTCGAGGTAGCGAAGAATTTCGTGCTCGTCCACTTTCAGGATCTCCTTTTACCTAAGCACGGCGTAATCTGGCCCTTATTACTTCTATTTTTGTGGTGTTTTACAAGTGTTCTAGGTGATTTGACCGGAAATTCTAAAGCGCGGGTGATTTCGTGTTGGCGGGTGATTGACAATGCGGTACATTTCAGGACGTGTTTGATTGGTGGATATCTGACATCCAATCACTTGGATTGCATGTGTGTCATTTACAATGAAACTTGGCTTTTTTGTCTGGAAAGCCTGACCGGGCGAAGCTCCTCGACGTTCTATATTGAACAAATTTAAAGGTTTCAAGCGTAGAGTTTGGCAATAATTGGACATTTTGTGTTCGGGATATAGCGGATAATAACGAGGGATCATTTTTCCAGAATGATGTGAATTATTTTGGGAAATAGGAACTTTGCTTTCGAAAGGATTTTACTCGAAAATTGGATTGAGACATTTCACCTACAACGTGATGTTTTACAACGTAAGTTTTCATTCTTCTTGTTTAATGTTCGATGATGTATAAGTTATCAGAGAATTTAAGTGAATAATTTATTGTATAGAGCTAGTTTCGAAAGGTTCTGGCGCTTTGAATTTCAAAGAGTTAGAACTGTGGTGTAATGTTGCGGGCTACAGCGGTCTTCGCTTCGACTTTCGCCAGCCGCGGCGCGGCTCGGCTTTGAACTTAAATTTGCCTCTTTGTAGTTATTTGGTAAAGTGCCTCTAAAAGCAGCTATAGCGGGTTTTTATTGTAGCATTGTGAGGAGTTTCTGACCCGTGTATACCGTTAGGAAGACATATAAACATAGCGGTGACTCGTATTTAAAGAAAAGAATCCGGGATGAGTTAACGTTCCAACCTAACCATCTCGTGCATTTTGTTTGAGTGATCGCATCAAAATCACCATATATTTTGCTGTTTTAATTTCGCCACCCTTTCCTCAGAGAGTATATAAAAAAATTCGAGAGCCAATTGGTGACGTCTTAGCTTCAGTTGTGTCCTTAAGCCCATGTAAGACGGCACACACAGGATTTCAATTTGTCTTTGTGTTGGGTCAGGAGAGAGTTGTAAACAGTTCTCGCGGGGATCTATTAAAATGCATTGTGTTCGAAATGCTACACAAAATTTCCGAGTACCAAGGTTCGAATTGACTTTTCAATATTTCTCTTTGCACGCGTGATTAGTTTTCCTTCATTACCGAAATAGTCTTACTGCAGTCTTATTGAAGTTTAATATTGTGATCATGGATTCATAGTTTGCAATTTTCGCTGATACACAGGATGGCAGTAAGCTTACTTATCAAAATAGGCCATTGTGCCTACTGCTAGCAGCAGTTTATTGTAAAGAATCGTCATAAATGTACGAAAGACTAGGTTAAACTAAATTATTTAAAGAATTTTGTGGTTTCTAGTTGGGTTATCACTCTAAAGTAAGCTCGATTTTATGCTTAGGGATTTTAAATTACTGATCAAGCGTACCGCTTCTTATGCAAATATCGAGACTTTCCCTTGCTCCTACGAGAAAATGATTTTAGTATCGGCTATTTAATTTTAATTCGCTAATCATGTCCACTGCTCACTATCCACGACCTTTGCTAGCCTCTCGTCTCATTCCAGAGTGGAATAATGAGTAAACTTGCGGTACAAATAGTAAGGGAAAACGGTGCTGATAAAGGTAATCCTAATTTCATTTGCATCACCGACTTGCTTTTTTGCTAATTTGCATTTTTGCGAAGTGTGTCTATTGCGATTGCTGAAGTATTTGTTTTATCGTCAATATAAGGTCATCGGGAGTACAGCTTTCTTTGAAGACCTCTGTATTTTGATCCGTATTGCTCTCCAAGTTTTAAATTTCTGAGGAATAGTTGGGCTATTGTTTTCTGGTAAGCGATCGGATCGCGCGTGCAGCGGTGTTTGCAATAATCGAAAAACCTGTGTAGAGCGGTCACTCAATAGTAAATGAGTAATCTTTTGGTGAAAACTGAACAGTTCTTCATTATTCTCGTATGCTAAGGGTATTAAATACCAAAACAGTCCCATCAAATACTGAAAATGCCCTTCATAGCGATTGAAAGCTAAGGAGGCCTTCAAGTTTGCTTTCCTCTCATAGACACGCAGGTTTTCTTTCGCGACCGATCCTTTCAATTTCTAATGACTAGTCGCTAAAAATAAGTAATTAAATGACACTGCAAAATCTGAACTACCAAGTTTATTTTAAGGAATTTTGTCGATAGCTAAAATTCGAGAGTAATCTCAACTTACGAATGGTTAATCAAAGAAATCGCTCGACCTTAACTGTGAGTTTAATTCAAATTACTATTCTCACCAAAAAAAAAAGAAAAAAAGAAAACAAAACAAAACAAATCGAGAAAAACTACGTTAACCTATTTACGATCATCAGAAATACGGGAAGTCGTCAGGATTTCCATCAATGTGAATTTCTAACTTTGTCAGTAATCAATTATCGTGGGGTGACAGCTTTTGTTTGGCGGGTTTGAATATTAAGAACCAACGTTCTTTGATGAGTCGCTGTACCACCACTGTGTATTTCACAGGGAAAATATATTACACGTTTTAATATTTTGGAAGTCTTTGTGAGGTCTTGACTTGAAAAACCTTCTCTGTCTGTATCATTTTATCAATAACGTGAAGATAAAGCATGTTACTTATTCAAAAGATAGTGTTGAAAGAAATCTAGAGTCAAAACACAAGTCATGATATATTTCTTTCTTTTTTTTTTTTTTTTAATAAATGGTTTTAGGCCAAAAGGAAAACAATCTTAAAGGTATAATTTGATCTTTCTCTCCTCTTGTTTTTCCCCTTCTGGGCGGGAACTAATTAAAGTTACAATCAAATGTTTACTGTACTTGTACTGGTTCTTTGGGCATGCTGATGCAATCTTGTTGCCATTTGTGAGACATCTGGAATAAGGATAATTTGCTGGTCATGGTGTTGCAGAGTAAATTTGTCCTCACAAATTTGCTAACATAGGCAAAATATTATGACATCTGGAATTTTTTCTTTGCCAAACACATACTTAACAAGCTTTGATATTGTCATTCCTTTCATTCTTTATGATGTAACTCCCTTTCTAATTTGTGTAATCTGTGCTCCATTCCTAAATATGTGTATGTGTTTATCAAATGTGAAGGAACCAAGCATAATAATGACACGCACCACCCTTGAGTGTTGTTTTTTCCTCTTTTTTTTTTTCCTTAACAAGGGAACAAACTGTGTGATGAGAACTGATTAGGCATATTATTAATTATTATTAAGACTATTGGAGTCCCACACAATGAGTCTTTATAGGAGCATTGACACAGAAATGAAAAGTCTTCTCCCTCAAGAATGGAACTGACAGGGGAGAAAATTCATGTTTTCAAACAGATTGATTACATGTTTACAAATCAGCTATATATCCTTTCTCCATGACCTCTAAAGTAGAGTGGATTGAAATATAGTAATTACAGCTTTGGAGAAGACAGTGATAACCTTTCACTTTGATCACCACTTTTAGCAATTTTTTTAAAAAGACTTCCAACATACGAAGTGCAATTGATGCTCTTTCCATGTGCTTAAATGGTGTTCAAAGTTTCAATCTTGTCCTATGATCTTTGTTAGCAATTGTTTCAAATTGTAAGTATCAAATGTACAAGAACTGTTGATTTTCATATGCTACAGCTGTACAAGTATCTATCTTGATTTTTTTATTAAATCATTTTCAGGAGAAGAATGTTAAGTTAATACTGAAAATTTCTTTGGTTTGGTGGATTAAGCTCTTAATAGATGCACTGTCTTGAAAGAGGTTTCATAGGCTTATGCTGTAAAATAAGATGCTTACAAAATTTTTTTGTTTTAAACTTTTGTACTGTGTATCATAAAAAAAAACCTTAATTGTAATCTCTGAAAACCTTTGGAAAGTAATCACATGATTGACACACACTCTCAAGGATGAGGATTGTGTGATTTGGACATGGTCCCAAACATTTTTTCCTATGATTATGAATTTTTCAGGTTTAACTACTTTTTATGATGTTCTGTCATTCGTGTTTGTCTTTCATGAAAGGAAATGTCTTAAATCTTAAAAATATGTGTATGTATAAGAGTCGTTTAACTGGCTAACTCACTTTGACAAGGTTTTATTTCAAATGTCATTGAAAAAGAGAGAATGAAGTTAGGCTCAGCAGGGGATGGTGGAGTTTATTTGAAGACTTGACTACATATTAAATGATACAAAAATATTGTAACTGCTGACCTAAGCATATATCAGGAGATTTAATGAAGCCCTACTTTACTTTGTTTGCTTGGCTGTGAGTCAATAAAGGGTTTAAATCTACGTCAAATGAAATGCAGTTTGAGTACTTTGTAATGAGATCAACCAAGGCATGTTCTTTGGAAGTGCTTTGTTTAAATTCATTGATGCTCAAGCTCTGTTTGCATGCAATTGCTTTTGTAGAGATGAAAATCATGTTGTGTTTCAATTATAAATTTCTTTATTTAAATTCTGCACAGTTCACTTTTTACATACTATTTACAACTTTCTTATATAAGTGCTGTACTTCTCAGGTGAACATTGATCTTTCTCAACATGGTTAAGTTGATTTTGTTTGTTTGTTTGTCTTTTATACCATTTTTCAGAAGTAGTGTGGGTTTTCAAGGATTAATCATTGTTGTAGATATATTTTATGCTCATGCTCTTAGCTTCAGAAAGTTCTCTCATCTATTTGGTTAAAATGACAATGACATCTCTTCAATCATTCTCAGTCGTCATTTCCGCTACACATACCAAAAAAATACTCTTTTTGTATGTGTAACCAAAATTTAAAATGACTGAAACCCACTTTTGCTGCAGGTATAAATAATATTTTTTAGATGTATAGTGGACTGTATAATTTGGAAGTTCATGGCTATTATAAAAATATTACATTTATTGGATATTAAATATAGTGCAGTTGAATTCATGCAATAAATTTATGGTGGAGGGGCCAACTTTGAAGGTCCTTTTCAAGTAGGAAGGAGTTGGTAATAGGCCTCAACATATCTTTTTTGTTTGCAATATCAACTTGAAAATTGCAAAGCACCTGTACACTTTTTGTTGTCAATTAATTTTGTACTGTTGATTGTAAAACAGCTGGCTATCATTATAAACCAATCAAAAGAGTTCCTATTTCTGAGGTTAATATAAACATGTCAGTTACCCATTGTTTTGATGCAAAAACTGTGAAGCAAATGTCCAAAGCATTTCATGGCAATTTAAATTAGAGTTTAAAGGGTTTTGTTGAGAAATTAAAAACATGCAAGGGAAGGGCGAGTTGTCCGAAGGAGACCTTCATTTTTGGTTTCATGGTTCCAATGGGTACAGAAAATGTATCGAGGTTTAGGGTTTTTTGAAGAAGTTGGCTTTTCAGTAAGGTTACCATTTATGATAACAATTAACATCAAAAATCACTGGCTTGTGAGGTGAAAAATTTTCATTTTATTTAATTTTTAGCTGGCAGGTCCCTGCCTAATTAGCATGTAAGTGTGTCAAGTTAACACCATCATGACATTCGGTGTTCTCCAATACATTTGATTAGAACTTGAGTAATGTTTTGTCAGAACAAAAAACAACATTTTCACCGGCAGTTTTGCAGAGTTTTACTTTATCAGCAAAGATTATTTGTGGTTAAAAGCCAGCATGATAGGTGTTAAAATTATTTGTGGATGATATTTATTCCACCCCCATATGATGTAGCAGCTGTTTTCTCTTTTGTGCAGATTTTTTTTTTAGTCTATTGTCTTTTAGAGTGGTTGCTATGGCACCTGCTTTGCTAGGAGTGTCTCCTTGGCACGTCTTTCAAAGGAAATTCAAATGTTTACATAAATCTGCTTTAAGTTGCATTGAAACAGGAATAATTGTATTTATTATTTTCAAAGACGTTAGAAAATTTTGTTTTGTCAAGACTGAAATGAAACCAAAACCCAAACTACATGTCAGAAAACAAGAAATAAACTAACCAACCTTTTGAAATTATTAAAAAACTAATAGGAAGTAGAATTATAAAGAAGATAGAATTATAATGCATTTATTTACCTTTTTGTTTTGCACTATTCTTGCCTGTAAACATACATGTGTGTTGTTGTTTGTTGGAGCCATAGTCTACATTGTCTCTTTATGCTTTGCTGTTGTTATTGGGGCACATACATGTAAAGACAGTTATTGCATTTAAACATGCTTACTCAAAAAACTGGATATAAATTATTGCAACAAAAGTCACATGCAAGTAGAAATAGTTCTAAACAGCAAAATAATTGTAAAAGGAAATTTTCAGCAAAAGTGCAGCTCACTTAAAGGATGGATTTCAGTTTGGTGGGTGGTGCACTCCAGGGAAGTCAAAGTGGGGCCATGCTACTAAGTCCAACCATGCCTGACTTGTGAGCAGCATAGTAACAGCTTCAGAATGACATGAAATTATTCATGGAAAACCTATAAGCTGTTTATCATCAATGCCTGCATACTTTTGGAGGGTTTTCAGGTTGCTGGTGTATTTAATATCTTTTAGGTCCACAGGTGGGGTCCATGTTTTCTCTTTATTTCTTCTTAGTTTTCACACAAGTTTGATTTATTTGTTTTTATAACATTAAAGAACATTATATGCATCATCTGATTGGTCAAGTCAGTTTCCAATTGGCTGCTTTATCAGGTTATGGAGCCTGCATTTGATTGGTGACAACTAGTTATATCATATTTCTAGTTATAGAACATAATTATTCTTCCAGACTCTATATGTGATAAAGTCACTTGTGATGTTATGAAAGCTTATTTATCACTTGCCGTTGGCTTGTGATTTAGAAGCTTTCTTTGTGTTCTCCCATTGCCTCTGGTATGAATTTATCAAGTAAGAGCACCCAGAAATACATATTTTTTGTGCTCATTATTAATAATCATCTTAATTTAATAAACGAAGAAAGATTAAAAATTGATTTAAATTGTTTTGAAAAGTTTTCAAGTTAAGTTAAAAAATTTGAATTGTAAACCCAGAATACTTAGTGAGTGCTCATGTCAATGGTGTTATCAACCTTGTTTAATGGACAACTTTAATTGGATTTAATACTTGATTATGATGTCATTGTTAAGATAAATTATACTGTGTTATACTGTATTGCTCTTAAAACATATTATTTGCTAAAGAATTAGATGTATCTGCTGCCATAATCACACACTGGAGTAAGTAATGAACACATGTCAGCTTGTTGACTAAAGAGTGCTTTAGGGTTTCACTAATTTCTTAGTTGACTCCTCCCTCCTGATAACAGAAAACATTTATTCAAAGGGGTGCACAGTGTGTAAAGGGTGTCCATGCAGGCGTCTTGATAGAATTGATAGTGCCACTGACTTAAAATTAAACATTTCATGGCCACTGATCTGAAACAGTGAACTCAAACAAACATGTTAAGGTGAATGATACTTGTTAGAGAAACTTAGGGCATTGTGTAGAATTTTTTAGAGATTTTTGGTGGTTCATTTGGGTTTGATGTTTTTTTGTAGACCAGAGGCTGTAATGAAGCACTTGTTTATGTTAAAGGGAGGGGTTGGTCTTTGTGTACAGGTGGTCATCATGTTCCCTGTACCTGCATTGGTTTGGCTTGTATTTATTGTCACTCATCATTTTGGAAAAAGCCTGAATTTGCACATGGGCACACAGGCTTCTTGTTATTAAATCTTAATGATGTGCCTAGCACTTGGTTCGATACTTGAAATGCATGTGCAAGGAAAATAAATTGCTCTGACTTATTAACACCTAAAGGCATAACATTTTTAAAATGATATTTTCTTGGTGGTAACTTTTGAATAAATGGTAACTTTTGTTTAATATCCAGGTTATTTTCTGGTAAAAATCTTCCCAGAAGCTAAAATTGAAACTGTTGAATAAGTAATGACTGAAACCCTTAAAACATAAAAGTTTTAAACCTAACCAAGTGTTCTCATTACTCTGTTAGCTCTATCCCAAAGTTCATAACACTGAGGTGTTTTAACAAGTTTTGGTTACACTGAAGACTCACAACTCAGTGGTATTTTTGGCAACTCTTGTGTCAGAATGGGGGATTTCCCTCTGAATGGTTTGGGGGACTTCACTGGCAAAACCATGGGTGACTTGGATGATGGACTTTTCTATGGAACAGCAACAGCCCAGAGTCAACCGTTGGATAACCAACACTTCAACCAGAACAGTAAATGGACCTTTTTTCTTGACATATTTTAGTCTTGATTAATTTTGAACTTTTTAATACTAACTTAAAATTGTCTTGAATGCTACTACTGTAAATATGATTCCAGTCAAGAGCTGCGTTTAAACTTGTTAACCTGAATATAGTCAAGTTAAAATCAATACCACTATTATTAACAGCAGTGTTGCTTTGTTTGCGTAAAACATCGCAGAAAATTGCAATTATTTTGACATGAGATCCAAGTTTTTTTTGCACTCAGGCATGTGGTCTTAGTGGTTTTTCAATTCATGGCAATTTTCTCATAAAATTAAAGTGGGTAGAACAACAAAAATAGCTTCTGTGAGAACTAACTCAAGCTTGTTTTGGTGGGTGAAGTGAACCATGTTAACAGTTTACTGACACCAGTTGACTTAACATATATCCTACAGACAAATTGATAAAGATAAACATAACATTAAGCACAGAAAATTAGTTTTTGGGATTATATAAAAGGTGCAATGAACAGATTTTTAACAATTATAACAATAATTTGTATAAGTATTTTCTTTATCAGAGTGATAGTATTTTTTACACTGATTTTCTTAAGTAAGTGGCTTGTGAATTGGATTAAGAAACAGAGTGCATTATATGAAGGTATATTTACCAAATTTATTGCTCTCCTTACTGTTTGGTTTATAATTTGCACCTAGATTGTACAACTGTGTTGTAATTTGAGCTGAAATGGTGGTATTTATAGCAGCTTTTCTTTCCAGTTGTGCTTTTTAAAAGGAGTGATACGGTTGATAGGGTTACCCAGCAAGAAGAAAATGTTTAGAGAGGAGCCCAGGAGAGTCTTTGTTTTAATGAATAGTTATCAAACAGAGAAGCCTCTTTCTTCAAGGACCACAGAGCAGTTTTCTTGAGGAGTGTGAATCAGGTTCTGTGGGAGAGCACCACTGTTTTCTTAATTAATTCATCTTTTCAAAAGAGGTACATGTGGAAGTCTATTTGGTGAACCAAAGACAAGTATTGAATGGGGATGAAAGACAATGGAGTTGCTTGTGGTCTTTGAATAATTAAGCTCCATTACTGATTTGGTGGTAACAAAGACCATGCAGTAGCTTGTGCGGTTGGCCTTTTATTTTGACTCTGGTTTCTATTTCAACATGCAAGGTTGCTGTGAGCATGTACAGGATTTAAATATGGCCACTCAGAGTTGTTTACTTTCTTTTCTACTGGGATCAGTTCATTTTGCTTTGAAAATGTAGCTTATTCAAACTTATTTGAATTGAGCTTTGTAGGAATAATTTTCCACGGGCTATGAACTCTTGAATTTTCATGCAAATTTGCCCTGCTTGACAACATACAGCCTGTATATTTGTTGGGGCTTGCAGGGTGATTTGTGTAGTAAATTCATAAGGTAGGCATGCTAGCTTTACTTTCAGGTTTTTTTTATAAGTAAACTTAATTGTTCAGTTTGTTTCAAATTCTATGTAGCATGTGTTTTGTAGGTGAGGGTTAGTTTTGATGGAAGAAGGTGATGGTGTATATATCAGCAGATCAAATTCAAAGAAGTCTTTGAAAGATTTTGAACTGTTAGGTTCCATGCTGACTTTTTAGTGTATGTCTAGAGTTGAAATTTTGAAACCAAAACTAACATAATGGTCATCTATAAATATTGCCGCTGGTAAATTATGTTCAGATTTGGTTGCTAATTATCAACAATGATTGCATGCGCTTTGGATGGGTGTTTAATTACATCTTAAGTTCTTTTGTTAGTAATTTGGCATTTTTAATTATGATGCCACAAGAGAGAAGTGTTGTTTATGGGAACAAAGAGAATTAATCTGAAAACACTCTTTTTGAAGTGTTTTCGCACCATTCTTAGCACAAGAAGGAAAATGCGAAGTGTTTTGCACTTTCTAATTTGAGGTAATCTCACAACCTAGCTACTGTTTTCAACATGTATTATGAAGAGAAGTAGCATTTTCAGAGGTCAACTATTTTGTCAGAATTTGGTAGGATATTTAAATATGTATTTTTAAAACTCCCCAATAGCTCTGAAAGTCACTAAAAGTGACAGGGGATAGAAAGTAGATCAATGGTTTCTGCTACTGGAGAAAGTTCAGTCTGATCTGTGATGGATCAGGGATAGTGGTACTCTTTTGCACATAATAGGAGAACTAGAACAAGCTCATACACCTCTCTCACCACACTTGCCTTCCATTACACTATTCATGTAGTTTACATATTTTTTTTTTGTATTATAGAATCCTACTTAGCCAAGGAATATAATTTTAATGTACAGCATAAGGGTGGAAATAATTATGTACAATATCTTTATCAAATAGACTAGAAGCTCTTCCTTACAATTATCTAAATGTGGAAAACATTTCTTATCATTACATTCTCTCCATACTGGTTCAAAAATGCAGTTTTATTTATATGTAACTTATGAATAACCTTAAGTTGACTTTCTGTTAATACAAGAAAATCACATCTTCTGCAGGTGCTGGAATGAGCCTGAGTATGGAACGGCACATTCAACAAACTAATGAAAGACTCCAGTGTATAAAACAACACCTGTCCTCTCCACAAGGGTTTCAAACTTCAGCAAGAGAACTTCTGGAGTGGTGTGGGGATGTACGTGCTTTTCAGCGAGCATTTGAAAGCAACTTGATGGGATGCCTCACGGTATACATTGTTTTAGCAGTTTGGTTGTGCACACTCTGGATAGTTAATCATGCAATTGTAATAACTTTGTCTCTTCTGTAGAAACAGCAAATGGTTTGAGTCTTGTTGAATGGAAACTTAAATGTATTGCACATAAGGTTTAAAAATTTAGGAATATCTCTTGAGGAGTATTCCAGGATTTTTACAAGTTTTAGCTAGGACATATTTGGTCATGTGATGCATTTAGACCAATGGTAGAAGAGCAAAAATATTTATGTTATGGAGTGTAAATTAGAATATTGAATTCAAGTTTTAAGTTAATTGCTAATGAGATGTGTTTATGTACTTAAACTTTGCGATTTCTTATTGCTCAGGTTGTGAGTCAAGTTGCAGCTAATCCAGGGTATGATTTGGATTTAGGTATGTTGTGCCAATTTTGCTTCCTTCATGTTCCTCTGCTCAACATTCATGAAAAATACTGGAATGATCAACTGTAGGTGATATTAGGATGATTTGATTGTTTAACATTCATGAAGAGTGAGTTATCTTAAGTACTAATCTGGATAGCTAATTTTTTCTTGCCATGCACTCTTGCTTGTAGATAGATAAGGTCTTTATTGACTTGGAAAAAATAAAAGAAACATGTCCAGAGACAAAACGTCTGGACTTACAATTACTTACAATAATGCAATTATGTTTAATTTATACAACTGGTCAATGTACAAGTTGCATAAACAGTTCCAAATCCACCAAAAGAGCTAATTTGTGTAAAGAGACTCTAAATAATCAGTTTAGTATAATAACTGTGCATGAATACACGTGGAACATAAGATTTCTTAGTGTTTTGCATAAATTCAGACAAAAAATTGAGTACTTTTCTCTTTAAATCATACTAACTGAAATTTGTCAAAAGTGGTTTAGTGGAAATATGTAATTGTAGATTGACTGGAAATCTAGTTTGTTATAATAAGTCTTCTGAACTTCTATTGTGTAGGTTATAGACTCTTGGCTGTCTGTGCTGCACACAGAGACAAGTTCTCCTCAAAGTCAGCTTGTAAGTACCTCTATGTTCATAATTTTTTTCACACCTTGGGAGACAAATACTGTAGTCAGAATAATTGCCACATGCTTGCCATAAAGCCAAGGATATTGAAATTCAGTTTTTGAAAATTGAGGTACATGTATATTCAAATAGAAACCACCATGACACATTTGTTTTTCCCATCTATATTGTTTTGTTGATGCCCTTTTATGAATGTACTCACATGCAATTTTTTTATTGGGGGAAAGGAGGCTCATATGGGAAAAAGAAAGGTGCTATGAGGCCACTGTTACACATTTTGTTTTAATTTGATTAGGAAAATTTTATTTTTATAACTTTCATTTGGGGAAAAGTTAGAGATTTTTATAAATGGACAATGCCAAACCCTGCTTTCAAACTTATGGATCTGGTGCGTAATATTAAAGAAAAAGAATGAAAAGAAAAAATCAGATAAGATTTTAGAGCATACCATCTTTTTGCCAATGATGGCCAAGTTTTCGTTGTGCATGCACTACTGTCTCAAGGTGCAATATCTTTCAGTACAAAATGTGATGCACACACATGAATTTGGTGAAAAGCTGTGAACTTAGAAATCTGGTTTATGTTTGTTGATGGATTTTGGTAGCAGTTGCTAGGTGGAAAGTTAAACAACTTTGTGTGGGATTAGTATATTTAACAAGTGTGGTGAAGGTGGGCTGGTGTGGGAACAAGGTCACAAATCTGAGGGAGGGAAAAACTTTAAGAACATGCAATCATTTCTTGGAGTTTTGTGATCATTGTAGCATCAAATAATGAAAACCAAGGTGCAGGCTTTGAAGCATAATGTTGATGCACTTCACTGTGAGATTAGGTCAACTGTTTATACTGAAATTTTATGGTGGACATAACCTTGCATGTTCAGTTTTACTTCTTGCAAAATATTTTTCCATGTTGTATTGTGAAGGTGACTAAACCATTGAAATCACAGTGGTTATGTTGACTTCATCAACAAAAACTGTCAAGAAATATCATCATGGAAGTGGTTTTTTTTTGGTGACAATTAAGATGTCAAACTTAGTCACAGCTTTAAAAGTCAAAGCACTATTTATACATGAGCTGTTTTTGTTTTCTGTTTGAATTTAAATGGATCAAAGTACTAGTTGCTCATACAAAAAAAAAAACTATTGAAATGAACTCTTAATTAGGCAAAAAGGGCATTATCTATATTTGCCCTGAGTAGATTCCCAACCCAATATTGCAATTTTGTATTGATCATGAGTTATTCTCAGCTATGTTAGGTGTTTGGTGTGAAGATCTTGGCAGACTTCTCTTACTTCGGCATCAAAAGCAGAGAAATGTTGATACTCAGAAGACAGCAGGTTACCCCACAGCACCAGGAAACAAGCTTGCTCAGATGAATCAATTGAACCCAATGAATCAATTAAGTCAGCTCTCAAACAAGTAGGTCACTTGTCAGATATTTTTTCAATTGACTTTTCTGTGTAGTCTTGCGTTTTGTAGAGCTAGATTGATCTTGTGTTAATTAACATCCTAACAGAGCATTTTAACTCCCTCTTTGCTCACTGCACCACCCTTGTTTACCTTCTACTCTCACTGATCCTTAAATGCTGCCAGTTAAAGCTTGTTCAACCCCTGTCTTCAAACTGTAGCAGTTAAATCAACTTTAAACACATGCTTTAGTTTGCCTGAATTCATTACTGTGGATTTGTTTAGAATTCATCGGGCGTAAGCTCAAAATCTTGTGGCAAGAGAATAATCAACATGTTATGTGGTGTTTTCCTAGTTTCCTTAGCCAAAATGATCATCAGAGTATCGAATGGATTTTAGCTTGTTAAGTCAGAGAGTGTACGTGTAGGTTTACAACTTCTGCTTCTGTGGAAATCATTGCCATAGAAATTTGCATTTTTGTTGATAATGTCCTTGGAGTTTAGTCCCTCTGTGTCAAATATCTCTGCGCAAAAAAATTTACATTTGTATCTTAACTGAACTTTTTTATGAACCAGGAATTTTACTTCTATATAGCAGTAATTTATCATTGTATGATATAGTAAACTCACCATGTAGTAATTTGATTTTGTTTGAAGAGGCTTGTATACTAAACTCTGTGTGTGTCGCAATCCTAAATTGAGGAAAGACCAATATTTTGCCTTTTTTAATTTTAGATATTATGAAAATTCAGAAGTGATTTCTAGAGTTTTCGGAAGTTAATGCTGATATTGATTAAAAAAGGCTTGATTACTCGAGGTCCAAACATCCTTTTTCTATTAACCTGGTTATGAAGAACACTTTTTATACTGCCCTTACAATTTTTGAATTCTGGGAAAGTTATTTCTGATTACCTCCTCTGCAGTCATAGAATTTCCTGAGGTGCACTGTATGTTTCCCATTCAAGGAATTAGAAACCTTTATGTTTATACTAACTTTGCAAATATCTAAGGACTGAATGGTTCTTTGTGATTTTGCTCAGTGATGTTGTGCAAGAAAATCATTTGAGCACTTAATTTCCCGTTATCAGGACATCAGTTGAATATCACTGGGGCAATATTTTATTCAAGACATGTTCTCAGTATGTACTTAACCAGGGTAAGACAATTGTCTTTAGGTCAGTTCCCACACGTAAGCAATTGACCCAAGGCATAGATATTTGACAAGGGTGCTTAATATGTAGTTCTTACATTACAGTGATGCATCAACTGTTATGTGGCCACAGAGTACTCAAGGTCATGGCCAACAACCTCCATCGCTATCTGTGGTAACAACTGTTTGGGGTGTCACATCCCCAATGACTAATGGAACAGCAAACATGACTCATGATCCTACGAATCCAGGAATCCCTACAACAAATACAGTTAATTCTGTGGGACATCCATACCTCTCGACTTCTGCAAATCCAAAGCAATATGCACAATCAGGTAAAAATAAAATTTTCCCTTCTTTGGTAAGACATTAATCAATACCAATGCTTTCCATAAATATTATAAGGAATTTGGGAGATACGTTGATGAATGTTGAGGTATCACTTGGTTTTATTCACTCTTTATAGTGATGGTGTACAATATCAAATTAATTTCAAGAGGCTCTGTTCAGTTTTATTTCATGTACCATTTCAATATCATACTTGTGGCAATGAATGTTCAAAAATTTAATCATCACTATCTTCTGAATGAGTTCTGTTTGTGGTAAATATCAGTTAGGAAACATACTACATTCTCTATAGGAATTCAAAGCAATTGAATTTCAGCATTATAACTTGGTAACTCCCAAACTTGTATTTCACGTGACTTCTCTTAAACACAATGTTAGGACTTTTAGTAAGAATCAGGCTAGATCACAAATGTCCTCATTTACAAAATAATGTCCGCATTTACTCTTCATGATTGGATCTTGGCCCAGCTGATCTAAAGCTTGTACTATCTGACTATAATTTGGTGCTTTATTTAAAATTTGGGGTAATTCTCAAACCTAAAAAGGTCATGGAAGCTTGTGAAATAGTCAGCGGAATATGCAAACCAACTTCACATTATCTGGTGAATGTGTCACCAAATACTAAAACTTACAAAGCTGTTATTTTGACTGAACACCATGGCACAAGGAAACACATTGAAGCTTTAACTAAGTTCAACCAAACAGAGCTTTATTTTCTAGTTTGATCAAAGGTTGCTGATGTATATTTTTTTCCATTTTCATACTGAAGTTGTGCAGTACCACTCAAATCTATCACAAAACAGAGTTGATCTAAAGCAGCATTGAAACTTCAAATGAGATCAACAAATCAGAACTTGGTTGTAGGGTTTATGGTCAGGGCCCAAATTTTTATCCCAATTTCTTTTAAAAGCTATCCATGAACTACTCTTACTAATATATTGTAACAATGAATTAATGTTGCACAGCTTTGCCTCTCAAGAAGTAGTAAATGGGATAATAAATGGAATTTGGCAGATATTGTGCTGAAAAAATACATGTACCATCAAATCAAATTGATGAATAATGTAACATTTTTTGTTGTTTTTCTGTTGAAAGGGGGTTACCCAGCTAGACCAGGAAGCAGGCTTCCTCAAGAGACGACACAGCCTGTTGCACAGAACTATATGCAGCGACAAAGCAGCTTCCCTGCCACAGGAAGCACCCCGAGTGTTCCTCCTGGAAGTAATAATTATTATTCGCAGCAAAATGCTGTCCCACCCAATGCATCACCCTTTCCACAACCTGCTGCCAATCCAGCCGCTGCTGCGGCTGCAGCTGCAGTTGCTGCAGCAGCTGCTACAGCAACAGCAACAGCCACAGCAACTGCCACTGCTGCACTTCAGGATCAGCAGCAAATGGGTGAGTGGAGAGAACTGCAAACTCAAATTCAATCATTTGCCTTAATAATGATTATGCTGCATGTAGTGATGTTTAGGGCAATAGTAGAAATGCTTTTACTAGAGGCAAGAAAAGTTATCATCTTTAGAATTTCAGTAAGCTACTAGCACCTCCTAATGACTGTGCCTGCATACTCAGGGACTTGTAAGCTTTCCTTTTTGGAGCACATTTTAGTATTAAAAAAAAAAAAAAATTAACTTTAATAGCTAACACAATTACTGGTAACCCAGTAGTTTATGTTGTGGGCTATAAACAAATAATTCAAATTGAACATAACATTGTTAAGAATCCCAACTGGCTGGAGGCAAACCAATTGGCTATTTACAAGCATGGCCAAGGATTTGAACTCGGAGCCACCGTGAAACAAATTCAGGTAGTGGTCAGGGCGGGACTCGAACCCGGGAGCGAAGGATTGCGAGTCCGACACGCTGACCACTCGGCCACGCTGCCCTCCGCTGCCCTCCTTTCAAAGAGTATCTACACTCTTTGCAAGTTTGATTTGCATTGTTTTTGCAGAGTGCTTTATTTAGGATGTTTCTTTTGGGTTTGGTGTCAGCCATTCTTCCTTGAATTACCCCTTGACTAAATTTATTTGAAGATCTGTTTTTATAATGATTACAGTTTTATGATGATATGCTCAAAGAGGC